TATTGTGTAGGAGGAAACCTACAACATATATAGTGATTTATGTGAATTTATCATTGCAAAAGAAAATGATTTTTAGTAAATATTTTTGATAAAAAATCATTTAAAAGTAACATGTCATCTCTAATAACAGTTTAGAAAATGAATTTTTAAATCATATAAATCGAGAGAACGAGAGAGGTTCGCGCTCAGCCTCTTCTCTTTTCTCTTCGAGACGATCTCTCTCCTCTCTTTCTCTCTCTCTCTTTGGTTTCCCACGAGAACCGCCGCCGCCGCCTTCTGGAATGTCGCTCTCCCCTCCACCCTCTCATCCTCCTGAACCACCACCACCTTTGCCCCATTCTCCTCACGTCCCTTGAACAATCGTCCATCCACCCTCTCTGTCTCTCTCTCTTTCTCGCTCTCTTGTTCTTTTTTTTCTCTCTTACTCTCATATTAACAGGGCTTCTCTCTTTTTCTTTTCCTTCCTTTTTGCGATTTTCTTTCCTTCCTTCTCTTTTCTCTGTCCTTCTTTTTCTCGATTTTTGTTCTCTGTCCTCTTTTCTCATCAGACTTAACGGGGTGCTTCATGAACTGTACGTGAATTTATGTTCATTGTACATTATATCCACAACGGGGTGTACTAGAGACATATATATATATATATATATATATATATATATATATATCTTATTGGAAATTCCAAAAATATCAATAAATTTTTTTTCATATATTCTTTTGGAAAAAAGTTCAAATTTTGAAAAAAAAAATTGAATTTTAAATAGCCAATTAATAATTTAATTTTCAAATGAATTTCAATAATTCGTATAAAATAAATTTTCCTATGATAATTTTTTAATTCCATAAACGTTTTGCTAATGTTTTACATTCTCATATTAATTTATCAATTTAGATAGTAAAATATTTACATAACAATTAATAATTCTTTCATTCAGTGTAATAAAAGAAATTTATTTTTTGGTTCAATTAATCAAATAAACATTAATAAATAAAAAAAAATCTTTACCTGAAGCAACGATAAATTTCACTGCGGCACAGCGATATGTTTCACTAAAAGAGTGAAAGTTTTCGCAATTCTAGAGAAACATATCGCTGTTCCAGATAAAGATTTTTTATCACTGAAAAAAACAATTTTATTTTATTCAATTGGTTACTTGATCGAATAAATATTTCCTTAAACCAAATAATTATTATTCGAGTCAATTAAATTTCAAATACGAAAATTATTCGTTTATTTAATTCAAATAAAAATTATTTGGTTCAAAGTAAATATTTATTTGATAATATTAGTCGAGTAACCAATTATTTTTTATATTTAAAAAAAATAATTTTTCTTTTTCAGTTTACCAAATTAAAATTCTTGATTAAAAAATGGTATATTTGTCTCTGAGCCTACTAACTCATTTATTTGTTGGAAATATATTTCATTTCATTGAAATAAAAAATTTATTTGAGCCAAAGAAAAATTTATTTCTGACAAATAAAATTTTTATTTACGCCAAATAAATAAGTTAGTAGGCTTTGAGACAAATATACGTTTATTTAATTCAAATATATTTTATTTGGTTCAAATAAATCATTTCTCTGGGTGTACATTGGAAAAAAATATTATTGAATCAAGAAAACCCATTTACTTGTTCGTATATTTAATATTTTCTTGATTCAAGAAAATTTTACAAGTTTGAAGTAAATTTTCTTCAAATAAAAAATATTATTGAATCAAGAAAATCCATTTACTTGTTCGTATTTAATATTTTCTTGATTCAAGAAAATTTTTTCAAGTTTGAAGTAAATTTTCTTGAATTAAGAAAATTATGTACCAAATACGAAAAATTAAATGATTTTCTTGAATGAATGATACTTTTTTTAGTGTACCAAACATTTATTAAAATCGAAATAATTATAAAAAAAAAAATTTTTTTTTAAAATAACAAAAGAAATTATAAATGAAAAAGTTAAAACTGAATTTTAACTAAAAAATTTGATTTGAATTTTTTAAATTAAAAAAAAAAGTAAATTTGAAGTGTAAAAATATTTGAAAGTGGAAAGTGATGATTAAGGAACAGAAAGGTTTATATAGTACTTGTTTGGAGAAATTGAAGGGCATATATATATATATATATGCTATAAGTGAATAATATACTTTAAATGTATTCACGCGTGTTATGCATAAACAGGATAAATCATTTTACATCCTATTGTACTCAATGTGTGTACTGTTTGTAAAGGGGCACTTTATTTGCCTATGTCAACATTTATTCCGTTTCTTCTCCTTCTATCTCATTTCATATGCATTTATATATATATATACACATACACGAAAGAATATAATTATAAAAATTAAAATTTTTTTTTTATTTCTATTCGTCTTCAGATTTTCTCTTTTAATTTCCCAACTTTTGCGCGCTTCTTTTTTTTTACTCTTAAATCAGTCCTTCTTCTCGGCAATATACTCTTTTTTAGAAAGGAATTTTAACTTTTCACATTATTCATCGAGCATTTATTAATACTTGTCGATCCTTATGGTTCATTATCAGAATTATTTATTTGCATATATGATTATTTATGATACGCTGTAAAATACCTCTTGTCAGCTTTAAATAATAATGCTAACAAATATATTTAATGGAGACATTGCAAATATATTTTTAAATTCACGAGTTTTTTTTTAGGTTCAATTATATTATTATTATAATATATTGAACAAATGTCATAATTCTTTTAACGAGACAAGTTTTATAATTTTAATATTGAATTCATCTAAATCGAATAATGATAAGATTTTAATTTAAAGAACGTGATTTTAACGTCCCAAGTTATTTCAAAAAAATGATAAAAATGCTAATAAAGTAATTGAATTTTATCTAAAACATTTAAAATTCAAGTTATAAATCCATATAGAAAAATGCATTCAGTAGTAAAAAAATAAATCATTTTTTAATTTTAATATATAATTAAATGAAAAATTTTAACTGTCATTTTTATAATTAATTAGTTTCCAATTATATAGTTGCGTGTTTTTTTTGAATTAAATAAGCGTATGATTCCAATTAAAAAGGTGTAATTGTTTTCTCACTTGTATCCGAGAATTATAGATTAAAGGTATAACATTACTTCAATATAACAAGTTGATTAAACGAGTTAAAATTGTTTTGCACACTGTTCCATTGTGTTTCGTTGGTTTTTTAAACTGTTCTCTAATTACATACATAATAATAGTGGTTTACAATTTGCTATATATATATATATATATAGGGTGTCGCTTGAAATTGCTTAACTATCTCGAAAAACATTTTTATATTAATTTGAATATCTCAACAAGAAAATCTTTACAAAATTCAAATGAATGAGTATAATTTTAAATTTATCTTCAAATTCAAATAATCTGATTTAAAACACTTTAGATTATTCGACATTCTCAAACACATTCCAGTCTTTCTTTTTTTTTTCTCTTTATTCCCAAAAAATGTTAATTTGGAAATTTAAAAAAAACAAACGATCGTTTTTTAAGGGTAAATTTAAAAAAAAAATTTCAATAAGAGAAAAAAATTTTACTTTCTAAATTTCCCTAATTTTTTTTTTTTTAAACTTATTTTTCAAGCTGCGCTTTAAATGGTAAAGTAAAATGTAAACTTTTTTTTTCGATTAACTTTTATTTAATATGGCAGAACTTTTTATAAAATATGAAAAAAATTTTCAAATTTTTTTGAAAATTTGTAAATTCTCACCTGGTGAGAATACAATAAACGAATTTCTTATTTCACAATCAAGAGCTGCTGACCTGGTAACTGAAACAAGTTAAATATTTCGAAAATTTATTCTTAGACACTAATTCACTAAAATGCTTTAACAATTTAAATCCGTTTTTCATTTATAATTAAATATTCAGAAATAAAAAATAAATAAAAAAAAAAAATTATAATTACTGTGTGAAAATAAACGCAACCCGACTTACAGCAATGTATTAAACAAGCATCTTCAAAGATAACTTTATCATTAATATTCTTAAAATCTGCACAAGAAAAACAAAAACATATACACAATTTAAATATTTTTTCAATTAGTACAATGCAATTAAATTTCAAAAAATCAGTTACTAATTTAAATTCGTTAAAAATTTTCATATCAATAATTGTAAAAAAAATGTTTTGCATAAAAAAAAATTTTTAATTTTATTTAAAAAAATATTTATTTTACCGAGCGGGTTGCTAATACATTAATTTAACTTCAAAGAAGTTTTCTATTTTGATAGAGGTCGATAAAACAGTTTTTAGCGTTTTATAATTTCAGTGGTAAATTACAAACAAAAATGATTTGAACACAAGAATTTAAAAGGAAAAAAAAAAGACTGCCATAAAAAAAACGTAAAAATGTCAATAAATTATAATACTTGTATTTTTTTTAGCATATAAATAAAAAGCCGAGTTTTAAATATTTATGCGTTACCACATTCTAAACTGATATTGTCTTATATTCAACACAAAAGAATTTTTAACAAATATTTCGAAATATTTCTATAATAATTATTTTCTTTTTGAATATATTTTCATCTTTAAAGGAATGGTATTTATTTACATTTGACGAAATGTGAAACTTAAAAAGACAGACAAAAATATTTGCAAAAAAAAAAAAAAGAAAAAAAAAAAAAACTAAACGCATTTAATGGTAAAGTTTATATAATATATCGTTAAACAATACTTGAGTTAGAAATATAACTTATAAAAGTGCCAAATTTACTAATAAACAATAACTTAAGTGAAAAAAGCGTTGGATTCTTGAAATTTTTTTTTTTTTCTACTATTATTCCAAATTATGTTTTCTTCTTAGTTTTTCTTGTGCTCTTAGAGGGCGATTTAGCTGGGCTTTTCGAAGCTGTCCTTTTTGATGATTTTTTATTAGCCTTTGTCGAATATTTTTCAATTAGAGAATCGAAAAAATTTTCAGCTTGAGCGCTACGATCTTTATTACGATTTTGAATTGCAAGCACTAAATTGTCCATTGAATTATTTTTTTCATCATCCTTTTCCAATTGTAACATTTTATCCAATCTTTCCGATTCTTTTGCTTCCTTGGCCCACTAAAAAATAAAAAAACAAAATTCAATTTTAAAATTATTTATAAAAATTAGTAAAATTTTTTTTTTTCAAAAATAAAAATCTAGAAAACCTTTTTGAAAAACAAATAAATAAATTCATGACATAGTTATACAAACAAGAGACTTTTTTTTAACTTTTTATGACGTCAGACAATCTTTAATTTTTTTTTTTTTCAACGAAAATAGTTTGTTTTGGAATTAATGGAAAAATTATTAAAATATATAAAGGAAGTATTTTACTTCAAGGATCTAATAATTATATGTTATAAAAAATGTTTTATTATGGAATAATAAAAAATGTTTTATTTATTGTATAATAAAATAAATTAGAAAAATATGCTATTCTTGAAAATTTACCATGTGCTCACACTTGATATTATCGTATGTACATGCAGGCAAATATTTCTAAGAGGATCAAATTAAATTTATTATTTATAGACTTAAAGTTAAAATTATAACACGACAGGTCATCGATTTGTTCTGTTGTCTATACCGGATATTTTCACTGCGTTGATTCGCAGCAGGAAAGATAAAAGATGACAGATGTAAATGTAAATGTTTGCAATGATTTTTGTTATTTATAGAAAACCTTAAATTTCCTCTTTGAAAAGCGATCCATTGCTTAATTTTAACTTTGATATAAAATCTTCTTATTGCAGAAAATCTCTTTACTGCGGTTTTTATATTATTTCCACAAGCATTCTAAGAATATTTAAACTTCAACAAAATTAAAATCAACCACCCATAAATAAATAATTAATTATAAAATTGTGAAAATAATTTATTTGATTCAAATAATCGAACTATTATCAAATAAATGTTTATTTGTATTACTGTTAAATAATTAATATTTTTAATTTTTAATTTAATAATCGAGAAATTATTATTTAATATACAGTTTATTTAATTCTAGAAAATTATTTGTAAATATTTATTGGATAATAGTAAAGTGATAAATTATATTTGAATGAAATAAATTTCTCTTTCAGTGTAACAAATTGAAAATTGGCTATTGAGAAAATAAGTCAAGAAATCAAAATGGAAATGGGTCGTGGTCGAAGTTAACAACATCCTTAAATGTTAAGTTTTCAGATTATTGGTAATTTTACTATCACACATTTTACAAGTAACGTTCTTTTGCACAATAATAATTGAAAAGCGGAAACATTATATCTTCATATATATATATTTTGCAATCTAGCAGAGCAAAAGGATCGAGTATTTAATCCTTAAAAATTTTTCTCAAGGATTTATAAAATTGTATATAATAGAAACATATTTAGAATATTATATATGTAATATAAGAACATTAATAATGGGAATTATTATTACAAACTGTAAATTAACATTTATTATATCAACTCAGCATAACGTGATTATGAAGTAGGGCATAATTCAGGGTATATATATATATATATATATATATATATATATATTATAATAAACGTTCGAAGAATATATATGACGCAAAAAACTATGTCAATGTTAATCCTCAGCATCCATTTTATAATTATCACTTAGAGTATATGAATTCTTTATAAAATGTTTACTATGCAAAGCACGTAGCAATATATATATATATATATATATATATATATAAAAAATAAAATTCGCTGCGAAATCATATTTCTTTCCTGGTATAAAAAAACACTTCAATTTTTTTGCGAAAAAAAAAAATTTATCAACAAAAGAATTTTTTTAAAGATTTATTTATACTTTAGTTACGGTTAGTTGAAGCCGATCAAGATTTTATATTGACATTGACACTTATGTTATTCAAAATGTTACGCATCATAAAATTTGCCTAGTGAAGAAAAAAATTTATTTGATTTAAAAAATCGATTACTTGACTAATTATCAAATAAATATATTTATTTGATTCAAATGATTTTTTTTTTTTTTATTAAAATTAAATGAATCAATAATTTTTTTTGAAACAAAAATTATTTAATACAATTAAATATTACACTGAAAAAAAAATTTATCTGATTCAAATACCGGTGTATTTGGTTATTATCAAATAAATATTTACTTGAATCAAATATTTCTTATTTGAATCAAATAAATGGTATTTGCTTCAAATACTGAAATATTTGATTCAAATACTATATATATTTGATTCAAATAAGAAATATTTGATTCAAGTAAATATTTATTTGATAATAACCAAATACACCGGTATTTGAATCAAATAAATTTTCTTTTCAGTGCACTGAGAAAAATATACTATTGATTTAAGAAGCTGAAGTACGCAACGTTTATGATAAACGATTTTAAAGAATTAATTTTTTAAATTGAAAAATTCTATAATTTTTCGCCTAAAAAATATTTCTTGTACACAGAAAATTAAAAGGCATTAAAATAAGCTGCAACGCTTATTATTTTAATCCAATTTTGCTTATTTTAATACCAAAATGGATTAAAATAAGCAAAATTGAATTAAAATAATAAGCGTTGCAGCTTATTTTAATGCCTTTTAATTTTCTGTGTAGTTTTCATTAATTAACAAATTATAAAAAAAATATTTTTTCGGCAAAACATTATAGAATTTTTTCATTTTAAAAAATTATTTCTTTAAAAATCGTTTATCATATAAACGTTGCGTATACTTCAGCCTCGTATTGATTTAACAGATTTTCTATTCATTCAAAAGCATATATATATGCTAGAAAAATTTTTTAAATTATAGATTCTATAGCATATATATGCTTTTGAATAAATAAATTTTTATTTCTGACAAATAAAATTTGTATTTACGCCAAATAAATAATTTAGTAGGCTCTGAGACAAATATACGTTTATTTAATTTAAATATATTTTATTTGGTTCAAATAAATTATTTCCCTGGGTGTACCTTTGGCAGAAATGCTATTGATGCAATAGCATATTTTTCTCAGTATATATACATAAAAAATATAAATTTATTTTATGAAACACTCGAAATTATTATTTAATCGAATTTTCTTTTCTATGGAATTTTTATACAGGAGGAGAAATAAAATTCAATTCAGGGGAAAATTAAAATGAGTTTTTTTTTTTAATTAAAAACTTTTAATGAATTTTCAAATTCTGCGTGTCTAGACAGTGGATTAAAATTCGTTTAAATGAACTTATTCACAAAATAAAGAGTTTACGGTATTTAGAGAGAGAGAGCCATAAAGTCTATTCCGAGATGACGATGAAGTCATCTTGTTACTATTGTTTTCATAAGTGTTATGAAGTAAACTGAAGGCCAGAGTGTACAAAATGAAAAAGAAAAATGCGTCCCAAATAGCGAATTGCTTCATATGTCGTACATGACCTGCTCCAAAAATCATAGCTACGCAAATTCCGGTATTTATAAATTCTGGCAACTCTTACCTATTTGCTGATCTAATGTTAGAGGCAAAGAATTACACAACGGGTATATATACGGAGAATTCGATTGGCGAGACAGGATGGTGTCAGTGACTGACACTCTTAAGAAAAATAAGGAAGCGTCATAGTCAAAAATGATCTCGGTCAATTTCATTTCAGTTGAAAATTATTATTACGTCAACTCTATATAGCAATATTCTCGAAGTCAATGATTCCAGTGTCTCACAAAGTAATTGCGTGGGCACTATATGAACAACCAATAAACCATTTCATCTTGCGAAAATCAAGATGAATTATTACAACGCAACAATTTTTTTTATTTTTAGAAATCCATTTTCAGAAATTAGTAATGTGCGATTTAATTAAAAAAAATATTAATCTCACATCAAGAGTTTCGTCATTTTTTAAATAGAATAAAAATTTTTTCAAAAAAGAAACCTTGTGTTATTAAGTCATATATGTATGAACGCATTTCATGTTTTGTGACGCGTGAAATATTTAATAATTTGCATTTTAAATGTAAATTTTTATTATTTTAAAGGAGAACTGTTAACCTTGTTTTTTTCGCGTTTTTTACATAAAAATTCTGAAGGTTTGAGTCTTTGAGTAAATCACTAATGAAAAAAAAAAATCCCTGTCCATATTTGGTGCCGAAGAGACAAAAGTGGGATCATATCTGGTGTGTTTTATACACGCATGAATATCCATCTCAAAGGAGAAACGGCGATATTGCTTGGAAATATATAAACGTTCACCCATTTACGATTGACAGCGTATGGAATATATAATTTTATTTATAACATTTATATGTGACGCGGAAAAAGTTAGAATTATCTTCTAACCGTAGGAGAGACTCCAAGGACATATGTCCAATGTATATAATTTTTGCAGAACATTACAAAAAAATATGAAAACGCAAAAAAAAATAAAAAATAATTTTTCAATAATAATTTTGAAAAAATTATGGATGAAATGGAAAAATATTCGCGTTCTAAATACCGCGTATGTTATGACATAAGTTTTGATATATAGTATGAGCTGTTTCATTCCTCCATAGAAGAACGATACATAGTGAATATAAAGACAGAAATTCCAACTCATCATATTCACCACTGTAATACGTAGATTTACCGTACATCCTGCAATTACTTTTAACCTTTTCTCACATGACAATCAAAAGTAAACATTATCAAACAATCATATATTTAATAACATTACTCAAAATGTCAACTTTAAAATCGCGATATTTTTTACAAAGAGAATTTTGGTGATTTTATTTTTGTATTTAATTCCTCCACTTTGGCAAAATTAAAATTTCTCTCTCTCTCTAATTAATATTTACACTCAGAGAAATGGTATATTTGTCTCCGAGCCTACAAACTCATTTATTTGTTGCAAATATATTTTATTTCATTGAAATAAAAAATTTATTTGCGAGGCAAAGAAAAATTTATTTCTGACAAATAAAACTTTTATTTACGCCAAATAAATAAGTTAGTATAGGCTCTGAGACAAATATACGTTTATTTAACTCAAATATATTTTATTTGGTTCAAATAAATCATTTCTCTGCGTGTATAGATAATTGAAAATGCAATTTCGAAAGTTAAAAAAAAAATGAATTTAAAAATTAAAAATTCTCGAGCAGTTACGTCATATTACTGTAAGACCTTTTATAAAGTCTAGTTATAATGATTATCGAGCAAGCATATCATAACTCGGATTGTTTCTAATTCATCGCAACCGGCTTTATAAAGTACCCTCAACTCAAATAAGCAAAAAGCACGCGAACATCTGCAACGCGTTGTCGCGTCCCAGATAGCACGTGTTCTCTTCAATTACTTGCAGTGTGTCTTGTTTCGCGACTGTGACATTGAGGAGTCGCGGGTATACTCAACACACAGATTTGGCCATGAGCCTGAAAATCCGGAAGATGAAAATTATAATAATGAAAAATCACGCAAAATCTAAAATATAAAAGCTCGCACACAATTTGTTGATAAAAACCTCTCATCATTATGGTATTTAGAGCAAATTCTAAACTGCATTTGATTGAATATAAGCCTTAATGCTGAGAGGTGTATGCGTTGTATTAAGAACGAACATTTATCGAGATAAAGATAAACCTTGCTGCTCATTACAATAGTTCCGTTCAATGAGTGCTAGAGAGGAAGTCAAGGATACATAATATGCCTAGAGAGAAAAAAAAAAATCTTGAAGGCGTATCTTCGTCTCGGGTGCAAGTTTCGCTTGCGAAATCATTAAATTAATATTCATCTTAAAATTCGAATTTCTAAATATCTTATTTTTTGATAATAGAGGTGAATTTAAAAAAAAATAATTCAAATAATCGTTTACTATTATCAAATATAAATTATAATTCGATTGAATTTAATGGTATATTTGTTTCAAATATACAAATTATTGATTCAAATACAAATTATTCGCACTTTTAAAAATTGTGCTTTAACTTTTTCAGGGTTAACAAGGATTGAGAAAAAAATTCCCTGACTCCTCCCAGACATTTTTTTATTTTTCCCTGACTTTTTACACTGAAAAAAAAATTTATTTGATCCAAATACCAGTGTATTTGGTTATTATCAAATAAATATTTACTTGAATCAAATATTTCTTATTTGAATCAAATAAATGGTATTTGCTTCAAATACTGAAATATTTGATTCAAATATTATATATTTGATTCAAATATTATATATTTGATTCAAATATTATATATTTGATTCAAATAAGAAATATTTTATTCAAGTAAATATTTATTTGATAATAACCAAATACACCGGAATTTGAATGAAATAAATTTTTTTTTCAGTGTAATAACTTTATTTCTGCTTTCTTTGGACAAAAATATGGTTATTGACATATTTAACAATAAATTAATTTCTAATGGTAGTAACAAATGGTAATAAAAACCATTCAAATTGTTTTAGATTAAAAAATTTTTAAATTCACAAAAAAAATTTTAATTTTTGTAGAAATTTACAGAAATTTCCCTGATTTTGAATGAAATTTTCTAAAATTCCCCTGAAATTTCCCTGCGACCAACAAAATTCCCTGATTTTTCCCTGACTTTCCTGACCGTTAGACACCCTGCTTTTTATTAAAAAGATTGAAATACAGTAAAACCCCGTTTATCCGAGGTCTCGCTTTATCCGAGGTGGTGTCTCAGTAGGAAATTCTGCATTATCCGAGTCTAGTCCGCGTCATCCGAGTTATTTTTAATTTTAGTTTTTTATAAATATGAGTTTATTTTTAATAAATTCAAATTGTTTAAATTATTATTATTATTATTATTATTATTATTAATTATTAATTATTAATTACTATTAATATTATTTTCCCGTTTGCATTAAATAATAATTTTTTAAACAATAATAATGTTAAATTGTAATAAATATTTAACAATTCGGATTATCCGAGTTTTCGCCTTATCCGAGGTAGGTCCGGTCCACATTAGCTCGGATAATCGGAGTCCTACTGTAATATATTTTCAATCTCGAAAAGTGTAAATGTTTGCATCTCATATATTGGTTGGACAAAAAAACTTTAAGCCAAATGAAATAAAAACATTCGCACTTTTCGAGATTAAAAAAAAACATATAATTTCAGTCTTTTTAGTGTAAAGTTGAAGCCCAATTTTTAACAGTGCGGTTTGAAATAATAATTATAATAGTCGATTGAACCAAATAATTTTTTTTAAAATTAAATTTAACAAATTCAGTCAAAATTTGCAATAAAAAATTGAAATTCGTGGAACAATTTTTGTAATTCAGAGATATTTGTGTACTTTCAAATAAAATGTGTGTTTTTCTCTTTCTCTCTCTCTCGCGAAATTCATGGTTTTCTGGACAGTCATCTGGCATCGCGAACTTGACTGTGTGGTCTCGTTTTTGAGCCTTTATATTTATAGTTACTGCGATGAGTGAAGAATTTTGAGAAAACATTAATTCACACCAAGTGTTGCCAAATGAGAATAGTCCTTATATAATTATTATTATTACGCCGATGTGGTGCGGCATTTCTAATTATTCCATTACCACTCCCGATGGAAGACGCGACCCTCGTTGTTCATTAATTTCAATTTAGTGGGACTCGTAACAACACGATACTGACACCTCCTTTGTAAAATTCGAGAAAAAATTTTCCATAATAAAATAATAACAAAATAATAATAAAATAATATTAAAATAATAAAATAGTAATAAAATAATAATAATAAAAAATTACTATAATAAAATTGACAAATTCTTCATCGGGTTTTATTTAACTAATTAAAATTAATTAGAAATTAAATACCCGATTATTCAAATTCTTAATTAATTGACAATTGACATTTTTCAATTAGTAATAATTTCAATAAAAACATAAATAAAAATGTTTTTTTCAAATAACTCAACAACTAAAATAAAGTGGAGATCAAGTTTTGCGATTATAATCAGAATAAGCTAAATTTAAGTCATGACAATTAGAGTAGACAATGTATAGTTACAGTCATCAATAAAAATTCTCTTAAAATTTTATTTCTTTATATTAAAAATATTTTTTTTGAAACTGTAAAAATATAAAAAATAATTAATATTTGAAAAAAAAAAAATTTTCTCGTCACATTTAAATTATAAATTTTATTTCTTCTGTGTGTTCTTGTTGTTTACATTGCATGCATTATTCATTCGCACAATGACTTTTGCTCAGCATCAATCGAATCGAATAAGATTCATCTCACGTCGAAGGTCTGTGCAATGACTAGAAGTTAGTAAAGAACATAAGAGTGCGTTCTACACAACAATACTTTTATAGATCGTTATGTTAAGAGAGGGCACTGCTCTTTTCAGTATTACTTTTTTTTGCCGGGACGAGAATTTTTTTTTTTAGTTCCAATTTTCAAAATTTTTATTTTAATTTCATTTCTAATAGAAATATTTAATACTTTATTTATTATTACTATTATTATTATTATTATTATTTATTTATTATTATTATTTTATTTATTATTTTATTTAATAAAAAAATATAATTTAATAAAATTCCTAATATAAAAATTCGCTTTTGTATATTTTTTAAAAGTCTAAAAATTAGATTTTTCTAAAATATACATGCGCCCCTTTATATATGGTTAATGTATTTCATTTAAAGAGAGACGTCAAATATAATTGGAAATAGTTAAAAAGTGATATAATACATTCACAACTCGTGTAGATAAACACTGTATAAAATGTTCAGATGCCTTTTAGACAGGTCAATACTTTGTTTAGACGTAACAAAGCTTGAAGGATTTCAATTTGGACACTGTCCAAATTTTATTAAAATTCTCTGAATTTTTTCTTTGAAAAAATAACGGATTTTTCTTTACAATAAATATACATAGCGTAAAAAAAAATTATTGTCGTTAAATATTTAAATGTTATTCAATTATAATTATCCAATTATAATTATTCAATTAATTGAAAAAAATATAAATAAACGAAATTTTAATAATTGAATAAAAATAAGAAGAAGAATTAATTTAATAATAAATTAATAAAAATTATTAATTTATTTATTAATAAATATAATTTATTAATAAGAAAAAAATTTGTGATATACCTACAAATTAAAATGCATGGGTCCCTCAGCTATTTGAAATATTCTCGTCCGAGGATAAAAAAATTCTAACAATTCTTCAATTTTTAGAAGGTCACGAAATGCATGCATAATTTTTTTTTCTCTCACAAATTTATGCCCTCTAAATGGTTAATTGCTTTCATTAGATGTGTCGTTAAAATTAACGTGTGTTATTGTTATAGTTAATAGTCACAAAGAATCATAAAAAGTTTCACTATAAATGCCCGCACAGGTTTATTATGACAATGTCATCCTATGGTCAATCGATTCTTCAAATCACATCAGAAAATTATGCTAAATCACTCACGATGTTGAAATTTTGTTTTTTTTTCTTTTGCTAATCTTCTTTTTTTTAAATTGTTAAAAAATTGTCGAATTTGTCTGTTTCTCTATAAACGATCAATGAAGAAAGTTTTAGAAACAAATAGAAGAATCGCGAGAAAAATAATTTCTCTCTTGAAATAGATAATTGATGATGAATTTTCACAATCTGGTAATGGTTTCTCGGTTTCCAAACGCTCTAAATTAGAAACTGTTGATGTCTCATCAGTTTGACGATAGTTATCGACTTCCTGGGATATTGTAACACGAGGAACATATTCTGGTTGTTGATAAACACCTTTGGAATTTGTCGAATGAATTGTTTCAGTTGGAACAAATGGCGGTGATGTTATTTCTTCGGGACGTGTTCTTGGATAATGTTCAGTGGGCCAGTATCTTGGTGTTTGTGTTGTCATCCAATTTCGATCCATGGAAGGTGTGTGAGTTTCATGAAAATGATGATCGCCACTTCGAGAAAGAAACATATCCTCGCGAGCAATATCAGATTCAGTGGTGGTGGTGGTAGGTCGCGATTGAGTCCAAGTGATTATGGGTCGATGAGTTGATGTATAAGTGGTCCATTGAGTTTCAATATCAGGTCTTCTGGTGTCTGTTATTCTTTCACGATAAACAGGTGTCGTGGTGATTGGATAGGGTCTCGTTGATCTCCAATCTTGTTGATCGTTTCGACTAGCTGGAATTAGATCGTGAATTATTTCCTTCCAAGATTCGTCTTCCTGAAAAGTGACATTACGATCCTCGAGGAATTTTGTCACAGCATTTGGACACTGGAAATTTGGATTGTCGTTTAAAAATATTCTCTTTAGATTTCCCATTTGAGACATTGCGTCTAAATTAAGACACTTGAGTCGATTACCAGAAAGTCGTAGGTCAGTAACTTCGCCAAGATATTGAAAAGCGTCGTCTTCAATTTCTTCAATTTGATTGTAAGTCAGATCCAAGTAGTTGAGATCTCGTAGACCCTCTATCCAAGAAGCTTTCACCGAAGATAGTCGATTATTGTCTAAACTCAATTGCTGAAGATATGTCATACTACCAAAAGCATTTGGTTCAATTTCCGATATCTCGCATTCCGAACACTTGAGAACCAATAAAGATTCGCTGAATCGAGAAAATGTATGAGGAGTGATGATGGGAATTCGCATTCTTGATATTTTGAGTCGTTCAACTCCTTCTGGAATACCATTCAAATCGGTGACGTAACCACCATTACATGAGTATTCCATCAAATCTCTTGTATCCACATGAAAACATGCTCCTGTCGCGTAATTAAATACAAGAGGAAGAATAAAAAGAATCATTCGAGCCATTTTTTTTTTTTCAAAAACTCTTTTTTTTCTAATCTTTCGATTTGTTTAATTCCTTTTTGCAAGTGAATAAATTTCACATGATTAGAAATAAGGGAAAAAATAATTTAAATACTACTGGATCATAAAATAAAAAATGATAAATAAATCAATCGAGAGCTACCCGCATAGGACTGAACTCTGTTCTAGCGTTACTGAGATATTTATTTACTGCTTCATCCCCTCCCGCCCTACTTCCACCTTCTGACTCTCCCTCTCTTTCTCTATCGTTTGAATCTATCTTTTATTCTCCTCCTACTGCATTTCTGATCATCAAGAGGTACTATTAGTAAAAATAGAGAAGCTGGAAAATAGCACTATTAGTAGACGTATATACTTGTTCAAACTGACGGAAGTTACATATTTGTTGATCACGATTGAAATAGAAACCTATCACGACATTACTCATATTATCGTGTATACCTTATAAGATTTTCAAATTAAAACTCATTTTCTATGAGACAAAATTTTAATAGATGTCGAAAAAATTTAATTAAAAATTTTCGTTTTTAAACTTACCTTTCGCTGACGTCTTTGCTTTTTCTTTTCATCTTCCTGAAAGAATTCTTTGTATTCTGGTACTTCTTTTTGAGCGATAAGATTTTGAATAATATCGTGAAGACGAGGTTCTTCTTCACAATTTGTAAAAGGAACGGCTTCAAGAATATAGTCCATGTTACCTTTGCCTAAAAATTTTAGAAAATTAAAATAAAATAGATTATGTTTTGACACAAATACGTGAAAATAAAATCTTACTATCCATATAAGCTCTCTTTAAATCCTTTATCTCAGCTTCTGAGCCCTTATAAGTTATTTCATAATCCTTGATATCTTTGACGGTAATTGGTTTAAAAAGTGAACGCCAATAGTCTGCCCAATTACGCATGACAAATTCATCACTCTCTTCATCAAATTGTCCTGTTTCATCGTAAATTTTACGTTTGTCATTATCGCTGAGAATTGAATGAATTCTACCAAGAACTTTAAATTTTTCTGTAGCTTCAATTTTTACAGATTCCTCAACACGATCAGGATGTACGAGTAATGATAGTTTGTGATACGCTTTCTTAACTGTAAAAATTAATAAATATTTTCATAACATTTCTAAATTGAATTCAAATAATTGGATATGACCTTCAAAAAATAAATATAATTTATAAAAATAGTAGACAAGAATACTAGTTTGAACATGTATAAATAAAAACTAAGTACTAAATACATAAAAATCAAATATTCAATATTGAAGAACGTATTCATGATTTTTTAATTATTTCTAAGTAACAAATTGATATAAAGAAATGTAAACTAATTATTTATTATAAACATGAAGAGGTTATGTTTGAAGTGAAATTTATTTACCTTGCTTTTCATTTGCTGTTTTAGGTATTTTCAATACTTCATAAAACTCACGAGCACCAAAGTACTTCTCGCATAAATCTAAGAGACTTGCCATTTTCCAATTGTAAGTAAAAAACTATAAATTTTCAATTTACTGACGCTAATGAAACAAATTGCCATTGACAGAAACAATTGTTACACACTTAGATTGGCGGCAAAAATTCTCTCTATATCTGTTGGTAAACCTTAGAATCTTTCTTACCAACGAAAATTTAAATTTTTCGCGGGAAATAAAAATTAATTAATTCAAATAAATTTGAAATTATAAAAAATTTAGTAAAATTTTGAAATTGTATTTTTTTTTTTTTTTATAAAAATATTTTTTCAATTATTAATTTCAAGGAACATGCCAAGGAAGAAAGAAAAATTATTTTAATAAATTTAGTGTTTTTTTTGTATTCAAAAAGAAAATATACATGACAGATTTAGTAATTCCCGATACATTAATTAAGAAATTAAACTTAATTGTTATCGTTAATAATAAGGAAGGTGACCCACACCCAATAAATCAAGGCTTTTTTTTTAAAAAAAAAAAATCCTTTTTGTGGCTATCTACTATTTACAATATTTATCATTTAAAACGTTAAACGTTTTTAATGTCAATTATTTTCCCATTATACTTTAAACTAGTATTAAATTTGGTTTTAGAGGGTATAAAGAGTGTGTAGAGGCAATAATTTTTTTATAATTTGTCGTTATAAACAAATTTCTAAGATCAAAATTATAAACAATTAAATTTCATAATAGTTTAAATTTAAATTTAATTTAAATTTAAATATATATATAAATCGGATTAGTTATCAATTCGCTATAAACAATTAAGGTAAAATATACAATCAGTACAATAATTGTATAACAATAGTTTCAGTGTAACAATTCTTTTTTTTTTTTTTTTTATAAGATTTATCAAAATAAAAATTTGATTGTACAATTAAAGAATGAATAGTTTTGATTTTCTAAATTACAATAAAATCTTTTGTGTGTTTCAACTGTAAAGAATCGTTGAGGCACATTCAACAATTGTCCTACTATTTTCAAAGTATTTTCAGAAAATTTCTAAAGCATTGAAGATTAAAATAATTAATTTTTATTTTACAATTAATTTACAAATTACTAGTAACGATAGTTAATTGTTTTTTTAAATGATAAATTAAGAATAGTAATTTTAAATATTTTTAATGAATTTACGGGAAAAAGTTAGTTACATGACATGCTTTTGAAATTATTTTTAATATTTTATATAAAAATTACCTAGTATTATTTCTTCAGTGCTTTATCTTTGCATTCGTTTCTGAAATTATTGACTTAAAATATTACAGTGCCTCGCTTGTCGATATTTATATGTACACTATTAAAATTCTATTATAAATATAAGTTATTAGATTATTGTACATCATATACAAACATATTTATATTTATATATATATATGTTCGTTTCTTTATACACACATCGGATGATTCTCTTTTAATAGTATTGAACATGGTATAACAATATTAAAATTTGTGAATTAAAATTTTCAATTCTTAAACAATATTTTACTTATATTTTATTTTTAGACATTCACGTTTATGCTCTTGTTTTAATTTTAAATTTTCTTATAAATAATTCTCTGTTTTCATTTTCTTTTGGTAAAAAATTTTTTTTTTTTTTTTAATCGACATTTAAAATTTCATAAATCTGCAAGTCAAAATATTGACAAAAGAGCTTGATAATATTTTCCAAACAAATTTGATTTTTTATTTCCTAATTTTCTTATACTTTCGTTAATTATATTAAAGTCAACCAAAAAAAAAAGAATTTCTTTTTCTAAGAATTAGAGCGCGTCGTTTACTTTCGAAAAAGTAATATTTAAAGAGAGAGAGAATCGTTCCGCGCGTTGATATACATATACACGAAATCATACAACCATGAATAATTTGAGCATTTAGTCTGTCCAGTTTATAACGGTAGAGAATGCATAATCAAGATTAAAAAAAAAAGAATATTTGCCCAGATCAAAAATATTGTTTTATATTTATTAATTTTTAATTTACACAAATCAATTTATTTTTCTTATTAATTTTTTAGGGCTTAAATCGTGTTCGCTTTTACAATTTTTGTTTATTACAGGAAGACATTTTTTTTAATCTTTATTTTAACATAATATAACAATTTCTACCGATGACAGACTCCTAGAGCGTGAACGCAATTAACTTACTACATTTATTATTTTAAATAATTAGCACTCGTTTTCCATAAAGTTAGATTAATACATAACAAATGTCTTCTTAAATCATTATAAAGAAAAAAATTTTAAATATGTAAAAAAATAAAAAAAATTGGACGAAATTTTTATTAATTTACAATTGAATATATCAAATTTGCAAACACGTATATTTTTTTTTTTTTATTTTCAAATTTGTTCAGAAAACGAACGCCTTTTTTAAAAAATCAATTATTATTATTATTAAATCTATAAGTTAATTTATTTACAATTGAGATTAACTATCGATGTTATGAACAAAACTCAGGTAATATGTATAATATATCGAGTGTTTTTTTTTTTTTATATATAAAACTCAAAAATGCTTTTCTTTAAAAGAAAAGATGATGAAAATTATCGGGTGGGTTTTTTTTTCCCCCTTTCTGAGTCTCTTCCTCACGTAGAAAAACTACGCAACTTGTGTATTTTATTATAATGTTCTTCTTGGAAGAAAACAGATTATCGGGTGCAAAAAAACTAAATGTTCAAGGCCTTTATATAATCGTCGTAAAAATTCTATAAACTTTCATTATTCAGAAAAAAAAAAAATTATTCCACACCCTCTCATTCATTCACAATTGAAAGTTTTCATTACTAAATTTAAAAAAATAAAATTACACAATTTAATGGTACTATTGCAGTTCGACGACAGTTTCGAGCGGCAAGAAAACCGGTTTTTTTTTTTTTTTAAATGAGACGCGTTTAAAATAGATAACATAATGATATTTTTTTTATAGTTTTTCATTTTACTATTATATTCTATTAGTTATTATTAAAATATTTATTTCGATTTTTTCGAATTGAGTTAATTTTCACAAAAGAACAATCTCAAGTATTTTTTCAATTAGAGAAAAGAAGAATCCTTCGAGATGGATTGTGAAAATGAAAAAAAAGATTTAGTTACAAAACGATTATTGAAAAATGTTTTGAATTTTACAAACAATTAAAAAACGCGTTTGAAATAATTAATATTAAAAAAAAAGTAAATACAATCAAACTCGTTGCACCTAACTGAGTTTAAAATTACGAGCCGTAATCTCATTCACAACAACATTCATATCATTCTTTTCTATTTGATTCATTCACACATATAATATTTCGTATGCTCTTTGAAAAGCGTTTCGTATTCTCCTGCACACTTTCAGTTCTCTTTATATGTTACGTGGCAAAAAAAAAAAGAAAAAAAAAGTTCCACTTTTTTTCTTCTTTTTTTTAAACAAATGTTTTAACTCAATATTTTTTCGAGTTTTTTTCTCTTCAAATTATAAATGTTAATTTTTTGCTCACTATCGTTACTGTGAATTTAGAACGATCAAAATTCAATCCAACGAAGTTGCAATTAATAAAAAAAAAAAAAAAATCTCGTGACTTTAGTGCTACTTCATACGATTAAGTACTAAGTCACTGACAACAAGTAAACCTTTCTGGTAAGGGCTCTCGGCTAACGTGTTTGCAAAACGTGCAGCTTCAACGCAGTGTTTTTTTGCTAAAAATCTGGTTTGTTCGAGACCCTGAGATTTGTGAACCAATTCAAAAGCTTTTTCAACGTCGCCCGGTTCTTGAAATCGGCGCATTATCATGGAATTCAGCTCTGGATACTGAAACGAAAATTAATTATCAGAAAATAACAAAAAACAGTAGACAATGAAATTTAAAAAAAAATTAATGAATTTTCATGAAGATTTTTAAACAAAAGTTTAAATTTTCAAGTTCGAAAGTATAATTAATTAAATGAATATATTTTTTTTTAAATAAAATATTATTCTTTCTTACTCTTTCACAAGCAAACAAAACTGGTGCAGTAGCCAATCCAAGTTTAAGATCTGCCGCTGTTGGTTTTCCCATTGCATCCGACGATGAAACAAAATCTAAAAGATCATCCACTAATTGAAAGGCCAATCCAATATTTCTACCGTATTGAAATGCTAATTCAATGAGTTGATCGTCTGAATCAGATAGGATCGCAACCTAATAAAAAAGAAAACATAAGTCAGATAAAAAAAAATTTTTTTACCTTTAGAATTTGGAAAAAATTTTTTTAAAAAAATTAAATTGAGAAAAAAACAAATTCTTACCGATTTCAATGAATTTGCAATTAAACTTGCTGTCTTTCGATACGTCTTCGTGAGGTAGTGTGCAAATCGTTCATTTTCCGTTTCTTTTGAACCTAGTTGCATAAATTCACCCTGCACTAAGTCGGTCAATACCTAACAAACATATATATATGTAAATTTAAATTAATATTCTTCAACGATGATTATAATGTTTCTTTATAGAAAGAAATAACTCATTAATTAAAAATAATTGAGAATATACCTGACTGAGACTGAGGGTGACTCTATCATTTCGACATCGCGCTATCATCATTCCCGACACACCAACAATATAATCACCAGCCATTGTCACCTGAAATTTGAAAAAAAAAAAATTAATTTCAATCCGATAAGAAATTAAAATATGAAAAAATTTTTACTTTATAAAAGTATCAGTTTTGAAGAGTGTAAACTAATTCTACTTTCCAATTTTCTTAGAAAAGAGATTTCGCTTTAAAAATTACAGAATGAAGACGTCTTTTGCGACGTTTTGTACTTGGTATATTTTATAAAGATCGGTAAAAGTAGAAAAGCAAAAGGAAGCGTGAACACATGATTACGATATTATATATACAAACTGAGAAAGAGAGAGAGAGAGAGAATGGAATTTCGATTTACGAGCCTTCGTTGCACTTAACCGACTAGTCATTAAATGCATTGACCGTTAACGAAGCAAGTGCACCTATTCGATTCCAATCCAAGTTTTCCTTTCACTGGACATCCTTTAAAACGATGTCAGTGAGTTGTAGAAACATTGTTGGATATTAAAATAAGTGGCAGAAGCGTTTCATATCAATTAATATTAGTTTCTAATTATTTTAAAAAAAAAATTTTTTTTTTTATTTTTTTAAAACTGATTTTCGAAAAAAAATTTATTTTTTGTAAGACAATAAAAATTATTACAACTGTCGTGCAAGGCCAATAGAAAAAAAAGGAAATTATCAATTATAAAACCGAAATCAAAAAAAAAAAAATAAATAAATGTTAATGATCGTGGCGTAAATAAATGTTAACACACGCGATCTTCACTCACGAGTTTCAAAAAAATGATTTTTCGTCACTAAATGCAAAGTTAAGAAGCGAAATACCGGCATTGCCAAACACTTCAAGTATGTCACCAGAAAAATAAAAAGCTAGACAAATCAAATTTTAGTCAAATTTTTATAATGTAACATAATAAGAAAAATTATGAAATAACACATATTTATAAGTCTTACAACATTAAAAATTTTTTTTCTTTTTAGAAAAAAGATTTCTCAATTTTTATTTTTTTCCCATAAAATTTATGACGACATTTTTAATATAAAAATTTTGGTATTTTTATATTTTCATTAGCAAAAAAAATTTTTTTTTAGGCATTCTATGGGAAATTTTCATTGAAAATTTTTTTTTGTCCGAAACATTTTTTTTCGAAATCTATATGAAAAATAAGGAAATACGTATTTTTTTTATTGATTTATTTGATGAAAATGAAGGAAGTTATGATTTTTTGAAATTTTACGTCAACGAAGAATTTTTGGAACATTTTTTAATCTATTGTACTGAAGAAATTAAAAATTATGCTATATATGAAATTTGTTCATTTTTTCTCAAATTTTTCAAATATATGCTCAAAAATAAGCAACAAAAAAGTTGAAATTAAACTTATAAAGTGAGTTTTCTCAAAAGAGACTTCGATTTTTAATTTTTTTTTGCATTACAATATCTGATGATTGAAGAATTTTTTCCCCTATCTGCGAAAGTGGTATTTTTAGTTTTTAAATTACTATTTATAATTTTTTTTAGTACGGCTCACAGAATTTAAGCATTTTTTCTACAAATATAACCTTTTTCCATTAACATTCATTTGTTTTTTTTTAATTTTCATAAAAACATACTAAATTGACGTTAAATTTCAAAAAATCATTTTCATCAAATAAAAAAATTAAAAAAAAACATATTTCCTTATTTTTCATATAGATTTCGAAAAAAAATGTTTCGGACAAAAAAAAATTTTCAATGAAAATTTCCCATAGAATGCCCCAATTAAAAAAATATTTTTCATCATTCTTATTAGGAATTGATTTTAGTTGCAATATTTTTTCTCTTTCAAATAAAAAAAAAAAAAAAAAAGACATTTTTCGTAAGAGTCATTTTAAATAAACACTTTAGGAATGTAAAATTTTTGATGGGAATAGGTATATATATATGAGCATATATAAGTGGCGAATAATGTTTGTTATAATCAATTAGAAGATGCGCCACTGGCCTTGTTTGTTAAGTCTTTAACGAGAGACATTACTTGAGCAAGAGTTGCTTGTTTAGCGACGCGTTAATGCATTACTGTTACACAATTGATTAGTGAGTTCGCGAGGATTGTGCACACATACCCCTCGCGAGAATATTATTTAAATGTGCTTTTTTTTTTTGCATTATAAATGATGGTTCATCAGGTTTTTTTTTTTTTTTTTACATCAACTGCTAACTAAATTTCAAGGACTTTTTTTTTACACATAACTTTGGCTATGCATTGCACTTAAAACAAAAAATTTTAATTTTTATGAACGCGCGCGCAAGCTTCGTTGCGAAACACAAGGGACTTTCAATTTTTCATGTCACATTAGAAAACATTTAACATATATAAAAATATCCATGAAATATTTTATTACAACTGGAAAAAAAGGTCAAGAAAAAATATACCTCAATTATATATAATAATACATGGATTATGTATTTTTAAATTGAATCTAAAAATTATTGTCTATTACTGGAGGATCAATTTTTCATTTATTTTCTGCGTTTCTATTTAGAAATTTCTAATTTTTTAAATAAACGAAATTTTTTTTAACCAGTAAAAAAAAGTAGTTTTTGAAAATTAAAAAAAAGATGAAATTGTTTTCATTTTACAAAATTATGTATCCTTTCTATTTGTTATGAGTCTCTGCAAAAATGTATACCAATATTTATGATTTTTGCTAAAAAAAAAAAAAAAAACAGTACTAACATTGGGAGCATGTGAATTTTACGATCTTTTAGTGTGGCTTTTACAATCTTTTATTGACATTAACGAAATGCAATATATTTTTATCTAAACCACAATAATAGTTTATATATTTAAAAAAAAAATGAGGAATATATTTCTCAACTGTAACGCAAACTTACATCAAATATTCTATGAATTATCTGATTAGTCATAAATGTCACGAATTACATAACGTGACCTGTGAATTTTCAACGTGCGGCCTAGTAATGAAATTGAAAAGCAAAATAACAAATACTTTGAAGAAATTTAAAACGAATTTTATATAAAAATAATTTTTGTAAAATAATTATTATTAGAAATCTATAAAAAAAATTTATTAGTATTAGGAAAAAATTTTTTCTTCAAAAAAAATTAAATTTAGAAAATTCATTTCTTAAAAAAAAATATTCTTCTGTTTTGATAAAATGTGTTTGTAGAAATTAATAAAGCTTTCATTTTTTTTTGTCCGGGAAAGTGATGAAGAGTAAAATTTGAAAAATTTTCACGTGAGTCTTAATAAAAATGTTCGAAGCGAATCGCGTACTTGACCTAGCGTTTTGAATGCACTACCTTTCACTTGCACGATTTCGTGCGTGAGTATACATGAATATGATCATACTTAACATGTATGTAATCATAGGTTGTGTGAATTATATCTGTATCACGTTCATTTCTGTTTTACATGTAATGCCGGTAAAGTGCAGTGGTCAAGTTTATTGCATGTTTCCGTTCATTGAATCCCTCAATGAAATTTGCGTTTCTTTCATTTTTTTTTTTTCTTCGAATTATAGTCTCATAATTTTTTTTTTTTTTAATCATTTATATAATCAACTATAAAATATATAAATTAAATTATATATGCCACATAATTTTTGCCAAATTATACTTTTAATTTAAAATTATTTAATTCATTAAATATTGAAAGTAAATAATTTCGCAATGCGAAAAGGGGGAAAAAAAAATGAAAATCTGATTCATAGATTTTAATTAACAGAAGTTACGAAAACTAGACGCTATATGGGATATCCTTTCGTTTGTATGCAAAATCCTAATCAAAATTCATTTTAATACTTTATCTTGCAACATGCAAGCAATTAGTCTTAATATTATATATATATTTTTCACTAATTAACGATAAAATGATTAATTAAAATCTCTTTATTCACAATTGGGGAATGTTTATCATGAGAAATTACTGACCGAAACCATTATTATTTTTCATACGAGAGAAACTAAAATAAAAATTGATATATGTATTTTTTTTTGTAACCTAAACATTATTTCATAATTTATAAATATGTTTAAGAAATCAATTAAAAAATTACTCAATTTATGTATTAAAATTCATTTGTGACGATATGATTTTTTATAGATTCCCTTTTCACGTTAATGTGTGAAAAATAATTATTAATTATTATTATTATTATTAATAATTATTCCAAATAGTCATTTTTTTTTTTTTTTTTTTACTAATATTTAGTTACGAAAAATAAAGTTATTTTTAACGAATTCAGTATTAACATATCTTAATTTCAATTAAAAATTACATGCATGCGGCAATGTTAAAAAAAAAGTCTCTTAATACAAAATTCATAGAATATGATAATTGTGACATCAATCATTATATATCGCAGACATAAGGAAATTTTTTTTTTTTCCAAATTCCAAGAAACAAACAAAAACAGAAAAAAATTTTTTTTTTTTGAAGAATTGGAATAAACTTGCCATTACTTTGCAAGAAATGAATTTCTTTTTTATGCGTGCGGTCGCGTCTCCAAATGCAAAGAAGCGATTTACGATTCGAGAGAGTGAAGTGCTACCAAGTTACCATTCACTTCCGGATCCACAAAGAAAGTGCAAACGCGAGCTTGTATATATATATATAGGCTTCGCGACCGTGATTCACGTATATATATATATATGTTTGGTTCACATGTACTCGAATCACATTAACCTCCTTCTCTGTCGCGCATTCCGGACGGGCGAGAGAGTTCGCATTTCATCAAGATTTCATCGATCACTTATTCAGCATCGACATTAGTGCCGTTTATATGCGCCAATGTCAAACAAGAACTTGAATCCTGACAGTTAAATAGAAAAAAATTTAATTTTTTTTGTATTTTTAATTTCTATTTGATATTAGAGGCGTTTTTAATTTACAAAAAATTTAGTTGAGAATTTCTCACCTTTTTTTGACTCCAAAGTGCGTTAACTGATGGCTTTCCGCGGCGAAAATCTGATTGATCGATCACATCGTCATGAATTAGGGATGCGCTGTGAATCATTTCAGCTATCATTGCCACCTGTCGCTGTGACGGCAAGAGATCACTAAAAAAAAAAAAGAAAAATAAGTAAAAAATTAGAGACAAAAAACATTTCTTAATTAAAATAAACTGAAAAAAAATTGATTCAAATACTCGACACTATTACAGGCCTCGGATCGACTTAAAGGCACAAAAAAAAGTCGTTTTAGTCGATTTATATTCTAAAAAAAGTCGATTTTTTTTTATTTTAACAAAAATATTTTACAGATTTTTAAATCAAATTTTTTTTTAAAATAATAATACTTTTGGAAGGGTGTAAAATTGAAATTTTTAGAAATAATTGAATTTTAAAAGACTTTGTTAATTTTCAGACAATAATTAAATTTTACAAAAGTAAAAATAATTTATCAAATATAATTTCGGATAACATTTTTTAAATGTAATTGAATTTTCAAAGATTTACAATTGAGATTTTTAAAATTAATTGAACTTCAAGTGATTTTTAATTAACAATTTTTGATGATTTCACTAAAAAAAAATTGATTAGAAATTGCGGACAAAAATACAATAATTTGAAAACCATTTTTAATTGAAAAATGGTTTCAGATTTCCATAGAGTTATAATTGAAATATTATTAAATTTCAAAAAATTTTCGATGGAAAATTTTAGAATTAATTAAAGTTTAGAAGCTTTTAAATTCAAATTTTTGAAAATAATTGAATTTTAATTGCAAAATGGTTTCAGAAAGTTGAATTTTTAAAGAATATTATAAAAATTGTTAAAAATAATTAAATTTCCGGAGAGTTATAATTGAAATTATTAAATTTCAAAAATTTTTCGATAGAAAATTTTTGAAGCTTTTAAATTAAAATTTTTGAAAATAATTGAATTTCAATTAAAATTTTTGGATAATAATTTAATTTTAGTTGATTTTTGGTTGAAAATTTTTTATAATAATTAATTTTGAATTGAAATTTTGGATAATTATTGATTTTGAATTGAAATTTCGGGCAATAATTGAATTTTAGTTGATTTTGAATTAAAAATTTTTGGTAATTTTATTTGATATTTTTTCAAAATTATAAACAGGTGTTAAATTTCATAAAAATTTTAATTGAAAAATAATTTAAAATAATTGAATTTGTGATGAATTTCATTAAAATTATTAAAAATAATTAATTTAGTGAAGAATTTTAGTTAAAAATTTGGTTAAATAATTGAAATAAAGAAGATCTGAAGAAGATCTGCATTTTATACTAAAAAAAATATATTTTATTTAAAAATTTGTTTAAAAAATGTAAAAAAAAAAAGTCGAAATAGTCGCATTTTATTAAAATAAGTCTAAAAAAGTCGTATTTTTGAAAAAAAGTCGAAAAAGTCGTATAATCCGAGGCCTGCTATTATCAAATAAATATTTACTTGAACTAAATAATTTTTATTTGAATTAAACTGTATTTGAACCAATAATTTCTGTATTTGGAAACAAATATCATTTAATTGATTCAAATAGTAATTATTTGATACAAATAAATATTTATTTGATAATAGTCGAGTATTTGAATCAAATAAAATTTTTTTCTCAATGTAACGATGTTAAGAAATAAATTTTTCTTTTAAAACAAATTTTTTACAAAAAAAAAATAATTTTTCCCCAATTTTCAAATATTTTCTTAATTTTGAAATTAATAATAACTTTCACTGTATTCTTTGGCTATGATAAAAAATATATCAAGATTGAATTCTTCGAATTACGTTCATCAATGAAAATTATACTATATTATGTTTTACTTTCACTTTATAAAGTGGACCTGTTTAAAATTCAATTTCGTTGAGTTATGAAAAACAAAAATAAAAATTTTTTTACAACTGTGCAATAATATCGGTAACACTATATTCAATATTTTTTGTAAAATAATTGAAATTTAAGTCCAAATTGAATTTTTCTTAAAATAATCTTGATATAGACTGGATGACTAGACAAAAATTCACAATGTCGTTGACCGTAGAAAGGATACAAATATATAATAGTTTGAAAAAAAAAAAAAGAAGAAATGATTATGAAATATCTTGCAATGATATCAATTACGGTGCATAGTCTTGTTTATAATGCTTATGTAAGTATGGAGACTGTTCGTTCACAGCATCCATTACGTTAAGAGTTATTTGAACCGTAAACTCATTTGGTAATGTCTTCATACCGGCAATAAATTATCAATAATTACGTGTGCCATCGTAAAGCTTTTAAATAATTTTCTTCTTCATCCTTTATATCTTCAACTTGACACTTGAGTATCCGTCAAATATATTGTATTGCCCTTTCACTTAAAGTCCATCTTTACTATTGTCTAATAATCATAAAACTCGCGCCTACAATATTTTTCTTTCGTTATATCAAGCAAAAAAAAAAAAAAAAAAAAATTTCATCTGACATAATTTTATCGAATCATTTAATGATTTTTCCATTTTCTTTCAAAACTGAGAAATAATTTTCTTAATTCAAGAAAAAATTATACAATTTTCCTGTATGAAAAAAAATCAAATACAAACAAAAATGAATTTTCTTGATTCAATACTATTTTTTGTTGAAAAAATAATGAGGAATATTTATATCAAGAAAAAAAATTAATTTTTATATAAATATCAAACTATGTTTGCTCTCGTAATTGAAAAAAAAAAAAACCGTGTAAAATTTACGGTTCAAGTTTAAAACGAAGAATTCCTTGAGTGTCAATTGAAGGCAATGCCCGCACGACTCACTTTCTTTCCTTGTGGTAATTGATAGCCCGTGCCATGAGGATTGAAACCATCGGCCGCAAAGCTTTTCCCTGACCGCTAAAGTAGTACGTCGCTATGGTCCTCAGCTCCTCCAATGTCGTGTTTTCTGCAAGTATCTGAAACACAGTTGACCTTGACTCTAATTGAACAAATAACAAAAAATTCATAACAAATATATAAATATTTTTTTCAAAAAAAAAAAAAATTTTTTTTTCAATATTATCAAAAAAAAAAAAAAATAATAATAAAATTGATTTGTAACAAAATTTATTTTATTCAAACAATTAAATATTTACTTGAGCCAAATAATGTTTATTTGAACCAAATAATATTTATTTGAGCCAAACTATATATTTATTTGAGCCAAATAATATTTATTTGAATTAAATAATATTTATTTGAATTAAATAATATTTATTTGAATTAAATAATATTTATTTGAATTAAATAAACTGTAGAAACGAATATTTGAAAAAAATACCATCTTAAATAATAATTTTTACCAAATCAATTATATATTTGGGGCGCATGATTATTCCAAAAAAATAATTGGTTACAATTTTCATTTAAAAGTATTTATTATTTTATTATTATTATTATTATTTATTAGCCTTTGATTTCTTTTTATTATTTTATTATATTTTTGACTAATTTTTAGTTTTCGAATTAGCATTTGACAAAATTAATTTTAAAACGAATTTTTACTTTACAGAATGATTACAGAATGATAGCGCATGATTATTCTATAAAAATAATTGGTTACAATTTTCATTTTAAAGTATTTATTATTTTATTATTATTATTATTATTATTATTATTATTATTATTATTATTATTATTATTATTATTATTTATTAGCCTTTGATTTCTTTTTATTATTTTATTATATTTTTGACGAATTTTTAGTTTTTGAATTAGCATTTGACAAAATTAATTTTAAAACGAATTTTTTACTTTACAGAATCAGGTAACTTTTTTATTTGATAGGATTTTTATTTTACAAAATTTTTCTTTACACAATTTTTTATTTAAAAGAATTCTAAATTTAATCGAATTTTAATTTTAGTAGAATTCTTATTTAACAGAATTTTAACTGCTTTAAATTTTTAAATACTGGAATTTCCATAATTAATCGAATCTTAATTTGTCAAAATTTTTCTTTTATACAAAACATTTTGACGCTAATTTTTCCAAAAATTTACCAAAATAATTACGCTAAATTAAAATTCGTTTAATTTAGAATTTCTCTAAATAAAAAGTTGAGTTAAAAAAAAATTCTATGAAATAAAAATCCTATCAAATAAAAATTCCAGTAAAAATTGTAATTGAAAATTCGTTTAAAAAAAAATCAAAGACAAATTCGAAAAACTAACTTAAAAATTGAAAATTTAAATTCTCTAAATTGAAAATTCTAATTATTTTTAAAGGAATAATAATCAGTGTGAAAAAGAAATATAAAAAATGGTAAATTTCCTTCTTTTCCATAATACACACTTTTGAGTGTAAATCTTGTGAAAAACAATTCATTAATGGTTGATTTCTTTGATTCGAAGGATATGGAAAGAGAGCGTGACGCATCTCATTTCTGAGGAATTAGTTTATAATTATAAAATAGTTGTGTCGACACGAATCAATAAAACTAGGTGCTTCCAGAAGGTTACTTTACTCACACTCGATTACACCCATTTGTCATATATACATTGTATATAATTTTTCATCAATATGGAAAATTTAATTATATAGAAAAAAAAAAATTTGAATTCTTTATGAAAAGATGACGATTAGTTGTAATTTAATTTACTTATCAATAACAGATACATATATAGAAAATCATACATTTATAATGAAGAAAGTGAAAACTGTAGTTTCTGCGATTTATTTATGAATAAAGGAAAGGAGGTGATTGTAGTTTCTAATAAAATCAAGTTTCAATTGACGATTTGAATCGAAACCAATCATTGTATACGGCCCTGGTACGTGACACACGCAATGTTTCACTTATTGCAACAGTTGGAGAAGAAAACGATATGGAGAATCGTCGTACTTCGAATTCCAGTCGTATAGCACTGTCTGAAAGTCCACGCTGGAATTCGGCCAAACTCAAAAGAAACGCCTGCTTTTTTTTTTTTTTTTTCATGAACTAATTGCAAATATTCTATTCATTCATGTCGACGTAATCCTTTCTCACATATATTTATTTCCGTATTCTCTTTATCTTTTTTTTTTTTAATTTTTATTCATCTGCTAAAAACGTGATTCCATTATTCTCACTTGAAAGAGAAATTCTCCTTCCAAACAAGTATTTGTAATTAAGTTTCACAAAATGCTTGTACTACAATAATTTAACGATATTTTAAAAAAAAATCGATTCATTAGTTAAATATACTTTTGAATTTAAAAAATTATAAAATAAAAATAAAAATATTTATTACATATATAAAATTGTAATAGAAATATAAATTCACAGGATTCTAATGGTAAATAAATTACTTATGTAATTGTTAGCTTTATTTACTGTAAATGTGAATAGGAAAAAAAATAAAGAATTGAGAAAATGGAAATAAATTTAGTCATTGCGACGTAAATAATTATTATTGTATATAGAGACAAATTCTTATGGTGCAAGGTGCTTTCTACGCGTTTACATGCGTGTATGCATATATATATATAGATATAGGATTGAACGACCGTGAGTAAAAGTTTTCGTCCATATGCAGACCGTGAAGCTGAATCCACGCTTCTGTGGCTTTCGTTCGAAAGCGAAATGCGCCTTCCAATCCGAGAAACCACGCACACTGATCATTTTGCTCATAAAAAAAAAATAATAATAATTTCTGACGTTGTGTACAATACTCTGCTTCTTTAACTCTAATTATTCAATATAAATTTAATTCAATTGCTGTCAAATTGATAAATCTCATTCTTAACCAAATAAGATAAATTAACAATGTGAAAAAAAGTAATTCATTATGGTTATTGACTTTTATATATATATATATACAGAGAAAAGATTTATATTTGTTTCAGAGCCAAATAATGAGCCAAAAGTTTTGAACGTTCATACACCCAGAAAAATGATTTATTTGAACCAAATAAAATATATTTGAGTTAAATAAACGTATATTTGTATCAGAGCCTACTAACTTATTTATTTGGCGTAAATAAAAATTTTATTTGGCGTAAATAAAAATTTTATTTGGCAGAAATAAATTTTTCTTTGGCTCAAATAAATTTTTTATTTCAATGAAATAAAATATATTTGCAACAAATAAATGAGTTATAGTAGGCTCGGAGACAAATATACCATTTCTCTGAGTGTATGAACGAAATTTTTTTTGCAACTTCTTTAAGTAAAAATTTTATTACAAAATATTGTTTAAAATATCTAAAAAGATGTTATTAATTTAATAATTGTTTAATTTACTGTTTTATTTTACATGGTCATCGCATAATATTTTTAATAATTTATAGATTGAAAAAAATATTTCGTTGAATGTTCAAAACTTTCGGCTCATAGCCAAATAAATATTTATTTCAAATAAATTTTATTTGTGCTAAATAAATTTTTTTTTTATTTAAAACAAATAAAAAATTATTGCGTTCTGAGACAAATTTATTTGTTATTAATAAATTTTATTTATCTCAAATAAATGGCAATAAAATATTTCTCTAGTACAGAACCGAAAGAAAAATTATAAATCATCTTTGAATTTAAATCAGAATTTAAATTTTTCTCATCTCTAAATTTCTCACACTTGAAAAAAAATTTATTTTTATTCAAATAATCGGTTATTTGACAATTAACAAATAAATATTTATTTGTACAAAATAAATATTTATTTGTACAAAATAAAAACATTTATTTGTTTGAAATAAATATTCATTTGTAAGAAATAAATATTTATTTGTATCAAATAATTATTATTTGAAATTATTTTTATATTTCAAAATACAAAAATTATTGGTTCAAATATAGAATTTATTTAATTCAAATAAAAATTATTTGGTTCAAGTAAATATTTTTTTTAGTACTAAGTAACCGATTATTTGAATCAAAAAATTTTTTTTTTTCAGTTCACTGATTTTAATTAACAATATATAATTAGCGCCTGTTAAATTAGTCAAAAAGAACAAAAAAAAAAAAATCTGTAACAATTTTTTTTTTTTTTTTTTTTTGCATATTATACAAGAAAAATACTGTCTCCTTTCTGAAGTCATGATGTTTCGTTGGTGTCACTTAAGAATAGAATTCATTAATAATTCATAAACCTATAGCGTAATTTAAATTTTGTCTCTTTTAGGTGACGCATGTTACAACACTTTTAGTACGGGAAGATATAGAAATTTCTCTAGAAATATTTGTACTACACGCGTTTTGTTTATTTAATAAAACATATATAATTTATCAAAAAAAAAGAGAAATAGAAAGAATAGTACAAATAATGTGAGTACTTGGATTTTTTTTTTTTGTTTAATGAAAAAAGAAACTAATTTCTCTATGAAAAAAAATGATTATTTTCTTATATAATGACAAATATAGATTTTTTTGTATAATTAAAAAAACTGATCATTCACCTGTCGTATATCGTGGTAAAGTAGCTTGAGATCGTCATCGAGGAGCTGATAAGGATCGACTTGATAATCTGGTAATGATCCTGGTTGTTGTGTTTGCATTGAACTCATTGCTCGTGCAACACCAAACCTGTGATTTCGCGAGCATGTTTCTTTCTGGAAAAAAAAAATAATTTTCATTATAAAAATAATTTATTTTTTTCTCTCCCTTGAAGGGAAAAATTTATTAGTGAAAAAATTCACTAATTTAAAGAGAAATTAAAAAACAAATATACAATATTAATTAATAATCACAGAAAATTAAAAGGCATTAAAATAAGCTGCAACGCTTATTACTCTCTAAATTTGAATTAGTAAAAAAGTTTACTAATTTGAATTAGTGACTCACTTTTTGCTTCTCAATTAGTAAAATTTTACTAATTATTAGTAACTTTTACTAACAATTAGTAAAATTTAACTAATTCTAAAGCAAAAAGTGAGTCACTAATTTCAATTAGTAAACATTTTTACTAATTCAGATTTAGAGAGTATTTTAATCCAATTTTGCTTCTCTCTAAATCTGAATTAGTGAAAATGTTTACTAATTTGAATTAGTGACTCACTTTTTGCTTCTGAATTAGTTAAATTTTACTAATTGTTAGTAAAATTTTACTAATTCAGAAGCAAAAAGTACTACACATATATAATAAATGAATACTAAATACTAAATAAATACTAAGTAACCGATTATTAAAATAAGTTAAATTTTACTAATTGTTAGTAAAATTTTACTAATTCAGAAGCAAAAAGTGGGTCACTAATTCAAATTAGTAAACATTTTTACTAATTAGTAAAAGTTACTAATAATTAGTTAAATTTTACTAATAATTAGTTAAATTTTACTAATTCAGAAGCAAAAAGTGAGTCACTAATTCAAATTAGTAAACATTTTTACTAATTCCGATTTAGAGCGTTATTTTAATCCATTTTGGTATTAAAATAAGCAAAATTGAATTATAAAATAATAAGCGTTGCAGCTTATTTTAATGCCTTTTAATTTTCTTGTGAAATTTATAAATATTTTCTTTTATTAAAAATAGTTCAGGCAGAACTCAAGTTATTTGAGTTATACTACTGATGCTTGTCTGACGTAACGTGAGTTGTACTACTTAAAAGTTTCCCCAGTGATTCTTTTTCAATCACTCTTGTTATATATATAGTATTTTCAACATTTTTGCCGCAAGCATAAAATTTATTAGTCAATAAAAAAAAAAGTTTCTAACAAATACAATATAAAAAATGATAATTAAGAAATATTAATGAATAATTTTTGGAAAAACTTTCTTTTTTTTTTTTTTTCTTACAAATAATCTTTTTGGAAAAATATTGTAATACTAAATTTAAAAAAAATTTAATTGAGGGCACACATTCCCTTAGAGAAACCAGTTTGATATATTGATATAGGAAAGAAGATATTTTGACAAGATTTCAATATTGTGAAACTTTCATATATATATATACCTTATTATATAAATTTTGTATTCTGTATATAAACGATAACGAAAGTGATTTCATAATTAGTGACTTTTAGTTAAGATAACGGGGTATTTTGTAACTTAGTTATTCTCATAATTATCATCTTTTTTTTTTTTTTTTATTTATTGACAATTGAGGTCACAGTGAGAATACCTATACACTTGGTGTGCTCGGACATGTAAAATGAAATGAAACAGTAATACATCGTTTGAGATTGAAATTGCTCCTAATTATGTTGATTTAAAATCGAATTTTCATATTATTTTTTTATTTTTCTATTTACAGAAAAAAAATATTTATAACACTGGAACAAAAATTTATTTGATTCAAATAATCGAATATTTGAATTTTTGAAACCAAATAATTAAATAAACCATTCTCTAAATCTGAATTAGTAAAAATATTTACTAATTTGAATTAGTGACTCATTTTTTGCTTCTGAATTAGTAAAATTTTACTAATTATTAGTAACTTTTACTAACAATTAGTAAAATTTAACTAATTCTAAAGCAAAAAGTGAGTCACTAATTCAAATTAGTAAACATTTTTACTAATTCAGATTTAGAGAGCATGCACTGAAAAAAAAATTTATTTGATTCAAATACCGGTGTATTTGGTTATTATCAAATAAATATTTACTTGAATCAAATAAATGGTGTTTGCTTCAAATACTGAAATATTTGATTCAAATAAGAAATATTTGATTCAAGTAAATATTTATTTGATAATAACCAAATACGCCGGTATTTGAATGAAATAAATTTTTTTTTCAGTGTGTGAACTAAAGTTTTATTTTTGAAATTTAATTGACTGAAATATATATATTTTTTTTTTCGATAATATTTTAATCAAAAAATTTTTTTTTCACTGCAGTGAAAAATAATTAGTAAAAAATTTATTTATAATAGCTATAATTTTTCCGAGTGATATATAATAAATTATGAATTTTTTTTCGAAAATTCTTGTCATTGTCTTAATTATGCACTTTCTCGCAACAAGTTAAGTTTATAATGATCTTAGAGGTTAACAAAGTAACCACAAACTAAAAGATGATTTGAATGCAATACACGTGCTTCCGCATATTATAAATAAATTTAAGCTTTAAAAGGCAAAGTATACAATGAGGATAAACATTGTTCGTTAAAAAAAAAAAAAAAAAAAAAAAATTTAAACACTTGCGACAATGAAAGTATATGACTTGAAAATTTAATTCTTTTTTTTTTTTTACTTTTTATAGGATTCCTAGGTTTGTTATTAAATTGCAATAATCTTGATTTCCTTGAATTATAAAATTCTTGTGTTGTGGTATATAAATTTCAACCATGATCTCGTTTTTGCGGTTATAAGGTTTAAATTATCGGTATATGTATACATTTAGGATGAATATTGAGAAATTATACCATTTTAAATGTCTGTCCATGCGTATCATTTCTACATCAATGTTTTTAAACCATCTAAACTCATACATTCTCTGTAGTATATATATATATAAAACTAGTTCTCGATAAGAGGCAAGTTCACTACCCAACTTTTACTTTGCGCAAAAACAATTCTCATCGCGTCTGCAAGGACGTTTATGATATGAGAAAAATTCGTGAAAACACGCGAACCCATTCATTGACAAAATATATATATTTCTTTTCATGAAATTAACTTTGTTGTAAAATTTGAAACGAGCCAATTATGAATAAAATTTTCTTCAACTTTCTAATGTGATATTAGTATTTACGATATTACAAATATGTGTACACTTCTGGCGCGTTAATTCTGCAATTATTTTCAAATTAATAAATAATAAATAATAAATAATAAATAGCAAAATTTACTTTCAACTAAACGATAATATCGCGTGATATTATTCCATTTTTTTCATTAATGAATGGAACATTTTTTTTTAAATATTTGTTAATAATAATTAATTCGTGTAAAAAAATGTTATTTCTTTATAAAAATAAATAATCAAAAAATTTACTTGAACCAAATAATTTTTATTTGAATTCAAATAAATTTTTTATACCAATAATTTATGTATTTAAAAGTAATTCATTTAAAAAAACCAATTTTATAAAAAAAAAAAAATTGTAAGTGAAGCAATAAATTTTGATTTATAGTTTATCACATACGTGACTAGAAAAAAAAAGTATCCGATGAATAAGCGGTTTGAAAGCATGATTTGTCATTTGGAAAAGTTATGTGTTTTTAATTTTAATTTTTTTTTTCTAAACACTCGCGATATATAGTGAAACAGCAAATTTCGAATAACCTTCAATTATTTATTTTGAGGTTTTTCACCTGGCATTGATTATAGATAACGACCGCACCCAATAATTTAATCACGTAATTATCTCTATATACTTTCATGAAAACCCACGTGGTCGCGGCAATACAAAAAATAATTGACGCTTTTTTCTTATTATTAAAAGCAAATTTAATTTAACACCTAGTTTACCATTTTGTAATTGAAATTTTTCAAAAAAAATAATTTAAAAAAATTAAATTTTAAAAAATTTTAAATTATAAAATTTTTAATAATTTTAAATTTTAATTATTTATTAAATTTTTAATTATTGTGGGGAAAAATACAGAAATTAGTATATATATTTTTAAAAAAAAAGCGTTTCTCAGTTATGAAAGTTGCTAATTAAAATTCATATTTGTGAATGTTTATTACATTTGAATTATCATAGAATTTAAAAAAAAAAAAAAAACTCTCGGTAGGTACATATGAATGACAATATACATGCGTATTTTTAATTTGAGAAAAGCAAAGACAGTAGCCGCAATTGGCGCAGAAAAAAAAAATATGCCAGTCTCAGTGTCGGACATGAGCGTTAGCACGTAGTAAAATGTGGTTGAAAAGTGGTTACACGAGTCTCTTATTTCCTGAGGCTTCATTTTCGTAATTATCTTACGTCTCATATATGTGTATAATATTTTTTTAAGAAAGTGCCGCAAACATCAGCGGCACACCCAAGTCTGACAAAAGAAATGTCAGGAAAATATATATATATATTTCGATATTTATGCTCATTTTCTTTAAAATAAATTGTTTTTTTTGTAAATAATATTTTTTTTCAAAAAATTAAATTCAAAAATTAAAGTCAAATACAATAAAATAGAAATTTACAATTCTTAAAAATGAAAAATGTAAATATTAAAGCAAATATTTACAAAAAAAAAAAACGAATGATTTGAGAATAAAATATATAAGTTTACATAAGTCGTGGTAAAATTCCAAAAAAAAAAAATTTTTCTGTAACCTGGAACAGGAAATCTGTGTGACTAAAAATATATTAGGCAATTCTTAACGTTTGGCCTTTAAAATGGCGAATGCACGTGATCAAATTTGCATTTTCATTGCAAGATTCCCGTTTTAATGAACCAAATCTATAAATATTACAAAATCATTTTTTTTTTGAAGATGACTTTTATTTTTATATTTTATTTTTAGCAACACTTTGATTAATTACCCTCCCCCCTACGAGTTTCAAATTATTAATTTCTAATTTAAAAAGAAAAAGTACACAGAAAATTAAAAGGCATTAAAATAAGCTGCAACGCTTATTATTTTAATCCAATTTTGCTTATTTTAATCCATTTTGGTATTAAAAAAAATTGGATAAAAAAAAAAATTAAAAATT